AGAGAGAAAAGAAAGAAAAGAAAAAAAGAAAAGCAGTACAGCCGTGTGGGAGAGCCTGGCAGGTTGGAAGAACTATAGGAAGATCCAAAGGCTGGAGTGAAAGGGTAGGGGCCGGAAGTTTGTTGGTGTCAGAGCTGAGGCAAAAGAGGCGGCAGGGGACACATGTAAAGGGCCTTGTTAGCATTACAGCTTCCTGGCTCACAGCAGGAATGAGCATTGCTTATTAAGCCTTCAGAAATGCAGTATGAATAGGTAATAGGCTGTTTGCTTCCCACAGGTGCTAACATAAAGAGAGAGCCCTCCTTTTATTTCAACTTTAAAATCAATGTGAGGAGCTGCTGCTCCCAGGAAGAACCCCTTGTCCAGTGACCCTGCCCCACTTCTAGACACCTGGACTCTGTAACATCAATCCCAGTACTGTTTATGATCATTAATAAATTGCGAGTGCAACAAGGACAGAACCAATCTTTATTCACCTTTGCACCCCCTGGCGCCTGTCACAGTGCTTGGCATATAGTGGGGACTCAGTAAGGGTTTGTTCATTAATACTAAAGGGAGAGGAGGGTAAGGCTTATTTGAGAAGACTTGTTCCTACATATTTTTTTTTTTAAGATTTTATTGGGGAATTGGGGGGAGGGGAACAGCATTGGGGAATCCGGGAAGGGGAACAGACAGGTAGACAAATTGCTGTTTTTGTTCTTCAGTCTAGTTGTGGAGGATGTCACTTCACTGGCCCATGTTGGTATGATCATTGTGCTCTTCCTGGGTGAGGCAATCGGTCGCTGGACATTGGTTGGCCACTCACACCGGCTGCCGGCTGCTCACACTGGCTGCCAGCCACTCAAGTAGCCCACGGCAGCCCACTGCAGCCCCGCTGCAGCCTACGCTGTCACCCGCAACTCACGGCAGCCCAGTTCCCAGGTCGAGCTGTTGTTCATCTTAGCTGTAGAGGGCGAGCGTCACTAGCCCTCAATGTGGGATCCGAACCGCAGCCCTGCTGCTCAGAGCTGGCTCTCCCAGGCGAGCTCTTAACCAGCTGAGCCACTCAGCCGGCCCTATATTTTTAAAATAATAATAATAACAAGCACTTAGTGATCTTCTGAGTGCCTTACATATGTCAGCTGATCCAATCCTCACAGAAGAAATTGAGGCACAGAGAAATTGAGTTGCCAAAGTCATGCCGATAGGAAGTGGAAAGGCTGGGGCTTGAATGCAGGTAGTCGGTCCCTGAATCCATGCTCCTAAACACTCCTCTATATTGCCTCTCAGTAAAAGTTTTCAGCT